CTGCTGCTGCTGAGGAGGAGGAGCCGCTGGCTTCAGGCTCGCTGACCCCTGTGTCGCAGCAGCAGCAGCAGGGGCCCCACGAGGAGGTGAAGTCCTCTTGGAACTGCTGCAGGCCCACTGTGGGGCCCCCCTCCCGCGCAGCAAGTTCGCTGCTGGACGAAGACAAAGCAGCAGCAGCAGCAGCAGCAAGCTTTTCTCCGCAGCTTTCCCAGTCCCTTTCAGGCCTTTCCTTCAGCCGCACTTCTTCGCTGCAGCATGGGGCCCCCGAGGGGCCCCCGAGGTCGCTAGCCTCCACAGCGGGGGCCCCCGAGGGCCCCCTCGAGGTTTCCCCCGAGGGCCCCCTCGAGGGCCCCCTCGAGGGCCCCCCCGAGGGCCCCCCCGAGGGCCCCCCCGAGGGATCCCCTGAGGGGCCCCCCGAGGGGCCCCCCGGGGGGCCCCTGCGGCTGGTGGGGGGCCCCCCAGGGGCCGTGGTGGTGCCTGCGAAGGAGAGCGAAGAGATTCTGAAGCAAAGAGTGTTTTCGAAGTTGGAGGAGAAGGAGTGGGAGAGTGTGGGGTGCGTGCTGCCTGCGTGGCAGGCGCCGCGCAGCAGCAGCAGCAGCAGCAGCAGCAGCAGCAGCAGCAGCAGCAGCAGCGGGGGGCCCCAGTTCGCAGGCTCGTGGGTGCAGCGCTTCCTGCTGCAGGGCTGGAGGGTCGTGGGCGTGGACCTGCAGAGCCACGGGGCCTCCCACGGCTGGGGGGCCCGCAGCTGCCAAGTGGAGGCCTTTGATGACTTTGCTGCTGACCTCCAAACTTTGCTGCTGTCTCTGGCCAACGAGGGGCCCCTCCCCATCTTCCTGCTGGGCTCTGGACTCGGTGCTGCTGCTGCTGTTCGTGCTGCGCAGCTCCTCGCCAAGCAGGGGCTCCTCGGCCGCCCCGCGCCGCTGCAGCAGCTGCAGCAGCAGCAGCAGCAGCAGGGGGAGCAGCAGCAGGGGGAGCAGCAGCAGGGAGAGCAGCAGCAGCAGGAGCAGCAGCAGGAGCAGCAGCAGCAGCAGGAGCAGCAGCAGGAGCAGCAGCAGCAGCAGGAGCAGCAGCAGGAGCAGCAGCAGCAGCAGGAGCAGCAGCAGCAGCAGCAGCAGCAGCAGGAGCAGCAGCAGGAGGAGGTGCAGCAGGGGCAGCAGCAGCAAGGCAAGGTGCAGCAAGGAAAGAAGCAGCCAGCGAAGAAGCAGCTGGGGGGGAAGAAGCAGCAGAAAGAGGCGAAAGAGGATCATGGAGAGCAGCAGCAGCAGCAGCTGCAGCAGGGGACGGCTGATGCAACAACAGCCTCCACTGCGAGTTCCCAACGCGGCTCTATGGACTCTAAGGGAGAGCCCTCAGCAGCAGCAGCAGCAGCAGCTGCTGCTGCTGCTGCTGGCGGGGGCGTTGCCCGTTTGGAGAGCTGCCGCGTGCGTCCGGAGAGCGGAAGCTCCGCGGACGAGGAAGCTGCTGCTGCTGCTGCAGTGAGCGCTGCTGCTGCTGCTGCTGCTGCAATGGGGGCGAGCCACCGAGTGGTGCAGCAAAAGCCAGTGCCGCTGGCGGGCCTGGTGCTGCTGTCGCCGCTGCTGGAGGCGCCGCAGCAGCAGCTGGGCAGCAGCAGCTTGCTGCAGCCGCTGCTGCAGCCGCTGCTGCAGACGCTGAAGACCTGGGTCCCGCACTGCGGGCTGCTGCCGCGGCCTGCTGGCAGCAGCAAACCAGAAGTTCAAGACTTGTTTAATGAAGACAAAGGCACTTTTAAAGGCTGCTGCCGCATCAACTTGGGACTTGAGATTTCCCAAGGAGCAGCAGCAGCACAAGCTGACGCCCACTGGCTTCGCAGGCCCATCCTCAGAGACGCGCGCCAGCCCTTCAGCCTCAGCGACTGGGTTAAGCTGCTGCACCGCAGGGAGCAGCAGCAGCAGCAGCAGCAGCAACAGGGCGAGCTGCAGGGAGAGAGTGCGCCTGCGGAGAAGGACGCAGCAGCGTCGGCGCCCACAGCAGCAGCGGCAGCAGCAGCAGCAGCAGCACCAGCTGCAGCAGCAGAAGGCAGCTACTTGTCCGTTTTGGCCATTCAGTCTCTCGATGATAACATTTTGCCCCCAATGGGACTTGTGCGTTTTTACGAGAAGTTGGGGGGCCGTGCGCGGCTGCCGCAGCCGTGGGCTTCGCTGCGGCGGGAGGAGCGGCAGCGGGAGCGGCAGCAGCAGCGCGCTGCTGCTGCTGCTGCTGCTGCTGC